GTTCAGGCCCAATGATTGACCAAAAAAAAAAAAAAAACAAACCTGTACCACATAGAAAAAAATTACATATGTAATATATAATATAAATAATATATATATACATACATGCACACATACATGCTCAGCTCTACTAAAGATGAACACCAAGTGAACATCCATAAGAAGAATAGTAGTTTGGTAAGCCTATCAGCTATGCTTATATTCTATAGACAATAATGATGCTTATGAAAAAACCTACCTCATGTCATTATCATGGCTATGCTTTAGACATAATTTCAGTGTGTTGCCCAAGTTTTGTGCTCTGGAAGCTACCAGACGACCACTAGAGTTACTTCTTAGTAATTTTACTTCTTGCAACTTGTTAAAATGTGAGGTCTAATAGAAAATGGTAAGGTCACTGGAGACATTGCTCTTAGAAGACACCAATGTAGGGGTCATGCAAACTTGTTACTTCCAACGAGTGAGTTGTCACAGAAACAACAAGCATAGCCTAGGATCCTTTTTGTCCCTAGGACTGATCTCTTCCCCTTGCGGCTCTTTGTCCCATGAGGCCACTCCCATGTGGTGAGGAAGCCAGGAGGCACTCATCAGAGGCTGACAAGATGGATCTCCCCAGTCTGAACGCTAACCTCCAAAGCTATGGCCAATATACCTCCTTAAAGAAATTAAATAAAGGACTGGAAATGTGGCTTAGTGGTAGAGTGCTTGCCTAATATGCACGAAGCCCTGGGTTCGATTCCTCAGTATCACATAAACAGAAGCCAGAAGTGGTGGTGTGGCTCTAGTAGAACACTAGCCTTGAGCAAAAGAAGCTCACAGATGGTGACCAGGCCCTGAGTTCAAGCCCCAGGACTGACAAAAATAAATAAAAAAAAATAAAGTACTAACTTCAGCACCTGTGAGTTGTAGACACAAAATGCAAATTAGTCTATGGTGACGTCTGTGTCAGTTTTGTGGTACACTACATCTCACGCTTGTTGTAAGAGATGGAGTTGGCCTGTACAAAGTCCAGACAAAACCTAGAGATGGTTTTGAAAACAAAATCAACCTTTTAATCAGTTTTTTTTAATTTCTTGATGGCCAGTTTAAAATCAGCTTTTTTTTTTTTTTTAGTAATTTTCTGTGCTTTTCCAAATTTTAGGAAATGAGCATACTTTTTAGTTTGTAATCAGAAAGAGGGTTTTTTTTTTTAAATGAATAGCTCCTTTCCTCATTTTAAAAAAACAGCAGAGTATACCAAAATTATTGAAGTTTTCTATGATTTGAAGTTTTGCTAAACGGTTCCTAAAATATAAATAAATAAATAAATAAATATAAGGTAAGTAAACAAATCAATGGCTTCGCTATTCCAACTGCTATGTAACTGTATGTCTTAATTGTCCCATGTTCCAAGGAGTATATATAACACACAATTTCTACAGAATTCATGTGCTTATTGTTTATTCAATGTATTCTCTTATTCCATTTCTACATGCCAGAAATAGACTTATAGAAGGTATTTCTCCACAAGTCTATAACTATTCTTTACTTCGTGAATCATACTGATTATATATAGACTGTTGCTAAGACTAAAAATAAACAAAGTAAAATACAGTCTTAAAATACTAAGATTCCAAATCTAAATACAGCATCCAAAGTAATAGACATGTAGACTATCTTCTACCTAAGATGTTTTTTAAAAATACTTTAAAAAGAGTTAGGAAGAAATATAGAGTATCACCAATTAATTGGACAAATACATAAAGACTTTCATTAAGTTAACAAAGTTTATCTGTTTTTATCAGTACAATTATATGTATGGTTTACATAAATACAATAACCTTGAATCTCTATGGCATATTTACTAAAACTAAATGTGTATACAACAATAATACCACAAACTTTTACTTCTTAGTGCATAGAAATAATCAAAGAGAAATAAGCAAAAGACATGTATAAAATTTTCAAAGCAGGTGTTATCCAGGCAAAAGTTGGAAACAACCAAGATGTCTATCAGAATGGTACAGAATATTGTCTATAAGAATGGTAATGCCCAACAAGAAATGTACTCATTACCTTACTGATGTAGCTATACTCTCTGTACAGCATCTTTACAAGAAAATAAAATTTAAAAAATAGAATGCTACAGACTATTTATGCAACTGACTTCCATATATTGTAAAAAGATCTATCTTCTGCTTTCTAAAACAATGTTAACAGATTTCTTTATTCTATTTTCATATGCCCAAATAAACTACTTCAACCTTATTCTCATTCACCCTCTCTGGTTTGCCCTTCCAGAACCTGTTCTACTTTCCTGTCATTTTTCTCTAATTTTTTTCATTTTTTAATGTATATTAATTGTGTCAAGGGGTTTCACCATGGTATTTCAGAAAGTATTTTCTATATTAAGATGGCCTTTATTTTTCCATTATACTTGTTTGCATTTTTATATGCTGTCGTTATTTGGGTTAATAAATCCCAGTGAAGGAAGTATTTCATATCATTCATAATTTTAAACTCAGAGTTACCAGACAATTTTACAAAGTTATCTGAAGGAGGTCTGGGGCATTTCCCAGCACTCTGTTGGCATAGATGTCACAATATCAGGATGTGGTGAGAGAGGGCGGCTTGTGGTAGCACTGGTCAGCACTGCAGTTCAGTTGATGGGGTATTTGGGGGAGGGAGTCACTAGCTTTCAGAGGGACCTCTAAGAGATAACTTCTGAGGAGGATGGGAGTTCTGGAAGAATCAGTTCCTGTTTGGGGCCTCAGACAACAGCAAAACCAAGTCAGAAAGGCAACTAGGAATACATATTCCTAGTTGCACATATACATTTGTAGTCACTCATATAATTCTTGACTTTGAAAGTTTTTGTTATGAGTCTTCATCAGCATCCCATCTTCCCTAACAGTCTCTCTGATTCAAACATGGCTGTTCAGCAACTTTCCATACATAAAAACTGCTCTGGGTAACCAGGTACACAGAAGGCCCCAGCTTGAGAAAACATAGTCTCTCAAGCTAGAAGTCCAAACTCTCTATCAAAACAAGTTTCTACTGGAGTTATAGAGTGACTAATGGAGATTTGAAAGACTGACAGAAGAGTGTGGCATTGTAACTGTGAAGAGTTGTCTTAGAGGGCTGCTTGAGCAGAGATCTGTCAACATTGAAGGAACCCAAACGTTTTTCTGAGAAGACATTTGGGATTGCAGTCTGGTAACATTTAACCTTTTAGAAGCTGATGGGATCCCAGGGCCATAGAGATCAGAAGCTGCTGGTAATTATTTGGAGCAGTATCACCAGCCAGCAGAAGGTTCTACCCAGTGGTGTAGTTGTTGGTAAGGACCCAAGCCAATGGGAGTGAACCCTGGACCACCTGTTGCTAGGACAACGCATGCTTGCCTCTGTTGGAAGTCTACTGCTGAAAGCTGCCATTGCCAGAAACCACAGCCAAAAGGCTCTACTGGGAGATGTTGACTAGAAGCAGCCTTGGGTGTGTCTAGGAGGGAAGTAGGTCTGTGGATCAGGTACTTGAAGAGTTTTTTGGGTGGAGAGTGTTTTTCTTTTAGTTGTCATTCTGTTTAAACCTGCTTAGGTGACTCATCTTTGATTATGGAGGGAAAAAAATAGAGAAAGTCTGTTGGTCCTAAGAAAGCATCATAATTTCCTTCAAAACTCCATGTAATCCTACACTTCTATTAATAGTGATATTAATGTACTTGCTACCCAAGTGGAAAATCTCCATTATTATTTACTTTTCTCCTCCCTTTCCACTCATATTCAAATATTTTAAACTTGGTTAAAAGCCAATTACATAAAAACGGTTCAGGTTCAGTATTCCTGCAAGACTGAATACAATACTGGGGGTCGGGAAGGGGGAGAGACAGAGACAGAAACAGAGAGACAGAGAGAGTCTTGGAAATTTTTACCTCCAAGAGCTCTACCATGTCCTCACAATGGACATTAGACAAAAATTCCCTCTGGCTTCAGGCAACTTGAGGGGGAAAGTAACCATTTAGAATTAAACACATCATAGCCTTCCATTTTTCTTAACAAAATTGTCCTCAGGAAAAACTAGTTTGCCTGAATCTAAACTCTTGGAGGGCAGAATCTCACTCATTTTAAGAGGCTTTCTTGGGGACCACAGACAGTTAAGTTTGGGGTTTTAATCTACTCTGACAATCTTGTCTTTTAATCGGTGCTTTGAAACCACTGGCATTTAAAGCAATCCTTGATATAGCTGCACTAACATCTACACTACTTGCTGGTTGCTATTTGTTGTCCTTGTTCCTTGTTTCTGGTTTTGTCTTCCATACTATTTTTGCCTTTTTGGCTTTCATCGAGTATTCTGTATAGTTCCATGTTCTCCTTCTTTCTTAGAATATCAATTCTATTTCTTTTTATTATTATCTTTATCATTCAATGGGGTTTCAATTCAATCTGTCAGTGTATAAGTACAATGCGTGCTGATCAGTGTCACTCCTTACATAATTCTCCCGCATTGCTCTCAACACTCCCATCCCCTCTATTTTCCTAGCTACATTTTCATATTTATTTATACTTTGAATATTATGACTGCATTTTCCCACCCACCCTCTCTTTCTTTGTCTATCTCCTTTCTCTTTAAATAGACTTGTTAAATATAAATTTAAAAAATAAAATAAAATATAAAATTTAGTTCTCCTACGACAAAATTTCAAAGGCCACAACATCTCAAATGCTCAGTTACAACACAAGAAGACACTGGCTTCCCGGAATGAGCATTTTATTATCACAGAAAGTTATTCTGCTTGAGAGTTTTGTTCTAAATCTTTATGAATTTTACTTATGAATGTTCCTGACAGCCCAGAAACTCTTCTTAGATGTGTCAGATTTCCAACAAGTATATGTTAGATTAAATAGCTTATTTAATTACACTATCTTATACATATGTGTATAGTGTGCTTTAAAAAATAGCTGACCAGGCCTAATGTTATTAGAAGATAATTTAAAGATATAAATATCTTTGAAAGAGATGATAAACCATCCTTTTCTTGGGGCTGCGCTACTGTCCGATGAGCGTTTAGCGAGGGCAGTACTGCTAACACCTAAACAAAAAAAGAAAAAGAAAGAGATGATATTTTGTATGTAAATTCCAAAGCCACAAGTGTAAGAGAAAATAGAAAAACAAACAGGAATGGAATAGATAAACAGCTTATGGGATAAGTTGAATTTGACAGAATACAGTTAGAATACAGTTCTGTTTCCAACCTATGCCCAACTCTTATAGTGGGGACTTCAGAACTGCTCTTGTTAGAAAGTACTGCCTTCTTTCTTAGGCCCACCATTTATTCAAAGCAGGAAAAACAGTTAGCATTCAAGTCTCCATTTTGTATGTGTGTTTGCTTTAAGCCATTCTAGCTGCATACCTCTTTTCTGTCTCAATTCTTCCTCTATTTAAATCTAGTGCTCACATCGGTAGCCAGAAGATGGACTCAAGTGATTACCTGGCTCTTCTCATGGTGTGCCAGGCTAGGTAATAAATTTCCTCTCTGCCTTTCACTACTTGTCTCATTGGCACAGTGGGCTGAGTGGTTGAACCTGACACGTTGGAACCCATGGAGTTAGGCCTCTGGCCTAAAACTCCTGGTTACACTCCTAGACATTAAGCATGTTTTTAATAGATCTGCCAGTATCATTTCTTGAAACATTTGGGTCAGATCCCATGGCACTGGGGTTGTTTTTGGCTGTTACAGTATTTTCACATTCAGATATTGTTGGAATCCAGTCCAAACTAAATCAATTTAGTCTTGCATCAATTTAAATATTTTCTCTTCTCTCAGTTCAGGGAAGTGAGGAAGTAGGGTATGGAGAAGGGTGGTCTTCCCTTTCATTCCCCTTACTCTGCCCCATGTTGACTCATCTCTAATTGGAAGCCTCACACCCAACTTACTATGGTAGGATACTATGTCATGTTGCAAAGCCAAGTAAGATGTAATCTCTGCTCTTACAGATCCTACAATCTATAGAACAAAAATACTTTCCCTCAACTAACCACACAAATAAGGTAGGACGTGTTAAACATCTCGAGGGGTTTATGGGGGAGTAATTCTTATAGAAAGGCAAATGAATTAAAATACACATTCATCTGAGACCTTAAAAGGAACGATTTGAGCTATGATTTGTAGGAAAGACATGTCAAGAGGTATTGGTTTCTTAATTTTATCTCAGTATCAAATAAAGCATACACTGTGGTCCAGCCTTCTATCCACTTCAGTTTACAAAGATAAAAAGTCCATCTATGGGGTCTGGGACGTTGGCTCAGTGGTAAAGTGCTTGCCTTGCATGCATGAGGCCCTGGGTTCAATACCTCAGCACCACATAAGCAGAAAAAAAGCTGGAAGTGGAGCTGTGGCTCATACGGTAGGGTGCTAGCCTTGAGCTGAGGAGCTGAGGAACACTGCCTGGGCCCAGATTTCAGCCCCCATGACCTACAAAAATCAAAAACAAAACAAAAAGGTCCATCTAATCTGGCTTAAGGAAGAAGAGAATTTAACAAGAAAGTCCTGAGAACCTTGCCTTGATGCAGGATAGAGAAGTTCAAAATACATCACCAAGATCCCATCCTCTCTATCTCTCTGCAGAAGTCTCCTTCTGCTTTGTATAAACTTCAGTTTAGAAGTTAACTTTGGCTGTCTGACCTAGCTCTCTGCCAATGCTCCCAGGCCTACATACTTCTGAACCCAGAGCCAGCACAAAGAGCCATACTGTCATCTCAGAATCCAAACAGGATTGTTAAACTTTGATGGATTAAGCAAACTGAGATTAGTACACACCACTGAACCAGTTATGCCAATGGGAGAGAATGGAGATTGGGTTAGTTCAGGTGAATCTCAAAATCCTGAGTGTGAATCAGCTTTACTGATTGCACGCAGGTTAAAAGTTGTAGCCTATTGGTTCCACAAGAGCAGAGATTGGCAACCTTTTCCTAGGAAAGACTTCATAGTACATATTAGCCTTTGTAACCCTTATAATCTACCAACTCAACCCTGACAATGAAGTTTGGAAGGAGTCAAGGACAACATAACAACAACTAGGTACAGATGGATGCCAATGAAATTCCATTTACAAAATCAAAAGGACCTCGTTTCCCAAGTCTTACACCAGGGAGAAATTGAGTGCAGGCAATAAAAATTAGAACTACAAATGTTCGCTGGCTGCATAGTGTGGTGTAGAAGTCCCCTGGGTCTTTAGAATTCTCCCTCTTTATAATGAAAACCATAACAGAAGACTGCCAACTAGGAGGTCTTTAATTTTGTCTCTTTTTTAAACTCACCTTTAAGTAGTTGTACAAAAGAGGTTTCAATTCAACATATCTGTTTAGGAGTAGTCATCTTTTAAAAACTATTTTTAAATCCTTTAGTAGTTGTACAAAGGGATTTTAACCAAACATGTCAGCTTATGTCAGTAATATATCTTGATCGGTGTTACCCCTTCCTTATACGAATTCTTTTTCTTTCAAAGTTCATCAGACCTCAAATTTAAATGGAGCATACAGTGTCCTGGTGCCCATAGCAGAAAGAAAAGTGACAAACCACAGACAACTTGCCTCAAGATACAATGCTTCCAAATATATATAGTCTCCTTGCCCATTCCCTTGATAATCTGCCTTCTCCAGTCTTTCCCATGTTCTGGTTACAACCCACTACAGTGTTTGCAGTCACTGAAGCCAAAAGCTTAGGTGACATCTTTGATATTTTACTCTGCTCACATTCCACAGGCAATCTGTCAACTAGCTCTATGTCCCAAATACACATTGAATGTGACTACTTCTCCTCCCTCCCTCTACCAACTCAACTACACTCCTGAGAGACCCCAGGTCTCTCTGCAGGACTTTGGCAGTAGTCTCTCTCCTTCTCCTAGCTCCTCTATTGGACTTTGCCTATTCAACAGTGCGAATGATCTTTCTAAAACGTATATCCCTCCATCACTTCTAATTATGTTTAGAACAACATCTAAACTCCTTCAGATGGCTCACGAAGAAAATCCTGGTGGTCTAGACCATCTCCATGCTCCCAACCTCAGCTCCTCACTCTCCACCCTGTCTTCGGATATTGCTGGAGGGCTCTACACTTCCACCTGCCTCCTAGATTTTGGACTCATTATTCCTTCCACCTACACAAGTCTTTTCATGAGATTTCTAGGAATAGTAAATCCAAGAGAACAAGATGTAGGTTTTCCTATACTTTAAGCGGGAAGCTGGAAAGCATTTGTTGGATGCATGAATGATGTATATATGGAAAGATAAACAGAGGCACATACACACGTAATAGGTAAATGCAGAAATGTCTTGAAATGTTCTTCCAGATGAAGGTACTGCATTTGTCTAGAGCTAAGAAAAGAAAGAAAGAACAGATTCACTCTGTGCAGAAAGAAATATTGTGCTAAATTAAGCCATTGGGAAACAAGTTGATTTATTTAACACTGATTTCTTATGAAGGGCAGAAAGTACCTTGCAAAAAATTCCAAACTCTAGCAAAACTGGCAATAAGAAAATGTCACAGTTGTAATTGAAAAATGTAAAATGCCTACGTCAGTAAATTCCACAAGGTGTCATAAAGGAGAAATAAGTAAATTTATTGGCCATTCAAATATCTCCAATACCTCACTTCCAGAATTCTGATGTGGGGCCTCCTGGCCATGTATCATGTGTGGCACAGGATTAATTTTATGTTAACTCTCTAATTCCATTAAAATTCTGGTTACAATAAGGTCTGCAAAACCACTATTTCAGAGAGAGAATCAACATACTGGTTTTCTTTCTTTCTATTCCTTTTTCTTTTTTTATTTCTATCTGTGTGTGTGTGTGTGTGTGTGTGTGTGTGTGTGTGTGTTATGGGGTATGAATTCAAGGACCCATGCTTGCTTGCTTAGCTGGTGTTCTACCATTTGAGCCTCCCCTTGAGCCCTACATTTTTTTTTCTGGTTATTTTGGGAGATGGAGTCTAAGATGTTTTTCTGCCAGGCTGGCTTCAAACTACCATCTTCTGGATCTCAGCCTCCTGAGTAGCAAGGATTTTAGACATGAGCCATGATAATGAAGTTACACCAAAAATAAAAATAAAAAAGAAAGGAGCAAACTAGATCAATGACCTAACTAGGAGAGCAACCTTCTCAGCTGCATGAGTTTTTCTTGTGAACACCTATGTCAATCAGCTTTGCAGTGGTAACAAACAGTGCCCCAAATCTCAGGACTTGTGATTAAAAAAAAACTATTTAATTCCCATACTGTTACTGTGACTTTGCACTCTGTACTTTCTCATTCAACCAAACTAGAAATGTAGACTCTAGTGAAACCCACTATCAATTCTTGAGGCTGGGGCAGGGGGAGGGGCTGCAAGGAGGTGAGCCAGAACTAGATCACACGCTTGCTCTTCCAACTGCTTCCTGGATGTGACATCATGTGACATCATGGCACCTCCACTGGCTACAGCAAGTCACACAGCCAAGCCAGCACAAGGCAGGAAGTGTTTTATAGAAGTGGGGCTCTGAAAAAAAAAATCAAAGCACAGTGGATGGACTACATGATCATCCAAAGGGGAAGGGATTGAATCACAAAATCTGTATTGAAGTCACCGGTCATCTTAAGCTTTCCTCCAAGAACCAATCAAAATAGAGAAGGCATGAGATTCTTAAATTTTCAGTACCATTTAACTCCCAGGTTAAGTCCTTAATTCCAGGTTAACTGTTATCACTTCCAAATGTCTAGTTTTCTCATGTTAATTTGGAGGTATGCCAGGTTATTTTTTCTGACTCAGACATTCTCCTATGCCTCTGAAGAGCCCACAGGCTCCAAGATCAGTGCATGAACTTCCAGACTAACACAGCCCTGAGATGCCTTATCCCAAAATTATGCTTGCTGAGGAAAATGTGTCCTCAAGCATGAAGCCCAAAAACAAAGGTTTAAGAAGTTGAAGCCGGGCACCGGTGGCTCACACCTGTAATCCTAGCTACTCAGGAGGCTGAGATCTGAGGATCGTGGTTCAAAGCCAGCCCGGGAAGGAAAGTCCGTGAAACTCTTATCTCCAATAAACCACTAGAAAACCGGAAGTGGCACTGTGGCTCACGCAGTAGAGCGCTCACCTTGAGC